GGCTAAGGAGGCCGAGAAGCTGGGACTGGTGGCTCGGCAACGAGGGGTGATTCAGGTATATGGAGACGTCAATCTTTCGGACGGAGTCTGGGTACCTGTTATCCCAGAAGGTCGTAGCGATGAATTCTCCCGGCTGGTGCGAACCAACTGCGAAGTGACCTGGGATATAAGGACATGGGTTCTTTTCTGTTTTCATGAGCTGGCCTCACACCAAGCTCCTTGGTCAATGAAGAGTCAGATTGTCCGCTTGGCCTGGTTTCCTCGGTTGGCGAAGGCGTGCCGGCTCTGGGTGGACAAGTGTGGTCAGTGCATGGACACTAAAGCGGCGGGTCGGTTGGCTATGCTCACGGCTCCTAGGGTTCCGCGAGGTCTGATCGACGGGAATCAACGGATGAAACACTTGACAATTGATCATGGCTTTCCAAGCAAGGATTGGTTGTCTCCTAACGATCCTGATCTCACCTGCTTCTTGGTTATAACCGACTCAGCCACTGGTTACTGTGTTGTGGCGGGAGCTCCATCTACTGCTGCTGAGGTTACGCTGAAATTGCTCTGGGACCGTTGGGTGGCTTACTTTGGCATTCCTCTGAGCCTGATGTCGGACAACGCGTTGGATTCTCAGATGATGCGACACTCTCTGGCTGCCACAGCCATTTACTTGCCGGTTCCCGCGTGGAGTCCGTTCTCAAATGGTTTGGCGGAGGTGCGAGTGAAAAGGCTTAAGCAGATTGTATCAGTGATGGAACTGCCTTGGGACGAGGCTCTCTTGTATGCCCAAATGACGGCAAATTCTGCTGCTCGTGCCTCTGGGGCAAGTGCTGCGGAGTTGGTCATGGGGAGTCGGATATTAACACCCTTGGAAGCTTTGGTGGGTGCCATGGTTCAGGCTAAGGAGATGGAAGGTACCACGGTGGAGGTGGATTCATCGACGGCCGACCCCACACACATCAAGGAAGTCGTGACTCGTCTTTTGGATCGTGAACGAGTTACAGTGCTTGAGACCCGCTTGCGAGAATCAGCGCGATTCGCGCTGCGCGAAGGATGGCATCAAGCAGAGGTCACAAGAAAGATATCACAGATCTGGAGGACGAAACCCTGGTGGTGTGGCGCCGACCGGGCGCTCTGGACGTTGAGGGTCACGTGGTGAAGGTTCAGACGGTGGACGTCAACAGCGGTCCTTATGTTTATTTGGGGCGAATGGCAGGGTTCTCTACTCGGCTTCGTCCGCTCGGGTCGATTTCTGGCAAAACCATTGCAGTATCCCCTTGTCATCTGGAGCCCAGGCGCGAAAAAGTGGATCGTACTCGAGCTACGCCGTCGGTTGAGGGCACTGTGGACCCCTCTAAGCTAAGGGAGGGAGACTGTGTAATGGTTCGTTTGCTGACGGGCGCGGATGTACTTGGCTTGTATGCGGGACCTTCCATCGACGACCACAAGGCTGGAGGTCGGGTTCACATTCTGGACAGCGAGGATGGTCGACGTTTTTACCCGGTATATTTGAATCCCGACGGTACTACTCTCATGGCGGAGACACCCCCTCAAGGTGCTACTGCCCTTCTGAGATCCTTTTCCAAGATGATGGCTTCGTTAAAGCTTACACCTACGAGGTTATTCTCGAAGGATAGCCGCGAGACTCTTGTGACCCGCGGTTACTTGAGCGAATGACGTTGTCGCCGACTGGGGGGAGACTCTGTCGCGTACGGAGGTACCACTACGACGATCTAGGCAGCCGCCTCCAACGGTGATCGTGACTGTCGGTGATCGTGTCTATCTTAACCTCTTCATTTTCTTATAGTTGGTCTATCCGTGTACGGTTTGTGGCAGGTTGATACCGCACAAGGTTGTGCGGAATCCTGTTCATTGATAGCGTTTAACGTGAAGTACGCGAGTTGATCGATATGGTTGAAGCAGAAGGACTCCGGATTGAGAGAGGCTTGTGGGGTCTTTTCTTTCGGTAGCATCAGGATATGTTTGAACCTCTACCGTGTTGTAAACATCTTCTGATGACTAACTCATCATCTAACGCCGATGCCAGTGTTGGGTTATTCACCAGTGGTGATTGGCT